ATGGCCTTGGGGAACCTTGCGCAGGAGCTTGCCACACAGGCATGACAGTGTCACTTTAAAGATGAATAACTAATTAAATAAAGAATTAGACCTCTATTAAAAAATATTGTAACAATATTTGTATTGGATTTTTCAACTGCACAGGTCTACAGTGGTATAGGTTTTAGTATAGGTCATACATTATAAACTACAAAAATAGGTTTTATAATCAACAAAGTTCATACCACACCATAATAGTGCTGATCACAGATAAAAACAGAATGAAAAGGAATATAAACAGCAACGTGAAGTAAAAAGTATAACTTTTATACTATATATAAAATGCAAAAGAGTCTCATGGTTATTGAATAGACAAAAAAATGCCATATGATTGATTGGCTTCCATATTTGGTCCTCATTTATTTATTACACTTCATCTCAAAGACCGTGGAGTGAAGGAAGGAGCAGAAGCCACTCATGAGGTCCATACCCGATATTACTCCCTTTCTCCCTGCCACAAACAGGTTGAAAGAAGATGAGAGGCCACTTGCCTGGCCTCTTCGGCAATTAATGTGTGCCTTGGTTTATTTTAAGTTGTTTTAGGAGGTAGAGCAAAGGAGCTGTGCAATGAATAACACATTTCTATTATTGTCAAGGATAAAGCAGTTTTTGTCTACTGTTACTTTTTGTTGTGCCATAATATACATTTATAAATAAGCCAAAGTCGAACAAATAAAAGTTACATAATATAATTCCAATGCAATGTGAATAAACATACAAACAATCAAACAAAGGACAGCAGAAAGAAAAGAGAAAAAAATATATGCCTGTAAAAATATGCTATGTACAGCACAGAAACAAGGGGTAAGTAAGACAGATTGCAGGATTAGGTACAATGTGAATTGCCGTTTACCCGACTCATATTGTTGCCATAGAAACCATGTCCCTTCAAATTGATCAGAGACTGTTAGACACGGCTGATAATTTTTCCATCAAGCATCCTCTATTAACGCACAAGATAATAGCTTTCAGGAAAGGTCAACTTGACGCCATTGAGAAAAAGTATAAATTACAATAACCCTAATACATATCTCTGTTAATACAATAATTATATACGACCTCATAGTATATTAGTTAATAGATCATCCTACATCCCAGGAGGAAATTTCTGTTAAACAAGACTCTTAATTCTAATGTTTAGTATACCTTTATCTCATTCTGCATAAACAGGGTCCAACCAGTCAGACTGTAATATGACTTAAACAGACCAAACGTCATCGTAATATTTTTTCCGTTTTGCAAAGGAGAATTGGTTGAGGATTTGTCTTTGAGGTTATTTGAACATCATTGTTGCCAGTGAATGCGTCAAATGATACCATGTCCTTTGAGATGGCACTTATATACCTTACTACCCATGCTGGATTTTCAGGTAATTAATACAAGAATCCTACGATTTTTTTCCTAATTATTTTCTGAGACCCAGTTGCCACTGCAGAATTCCAAATGTAACACCACGTGTATAATTTGTTTTGCAAATAATGCACTTATTTAATATTCCATATTACAAACCAAAACTGCAATCTCCCCAAAAATAACTAAAAGTAAACTAAATTTATTTTTGTGGTGGAACTAGCTAGCATAACACAGATTTGGATGTATCACCGCTTCAGGTTTATAAAAATCGCAGAAAAAACACAATGTTGTGTCTGTATATATATATATGTTTCTCATTCCCCAGGCCACCCATTTGTGTCATTCCCCCAGCCCCTTGATGTGTTTCCTTTCCTTCCCTCCCTCTATGTATCTTACCCCCTCTCCTCCCATGTGCCAGCATACCTCCCCTGTGTAGAATGGCTGAACTGCAAACTGCAGTAGAGGAGCTCCCGTACCCTCTACTCGGTCTGACAGGAAGAAGTTTGGATCTCAATTAACTCAAGGAGCACTTCCTGTAAGACCGGATAGAGGAACAGAAGCTTGTCAGCCATGGTCTCTGCTCAAAAATGCTAAGTGCAGAGTTCGGCAGGAGTAGAGCACTATGCTGTGTACTTTCCTCCTGCTGGTCATCCAAAAAATGCGCCCCCCAGGTAGGTGTGCCCTAAGGCCATCTGTGCAGCCTTATGGTAGGACCAGCATTGCCTACACCAGAAACATAGCCAATAGTGCTGCTTTCTTAAAATTTATTTCTATTGTTGATTCATTATTTCTAAATATATAATTTGGGCTTTAAAATGCACTGCAACCCCAGATTTTCTCCAAAATTGGGGTGGGGGCAAACTACAGTCAAACAGCAAACATTTTGAGGATAATACCTGCAGTAGTCAGTGGAAAACAATGCTATTTGCTTGATTCTGTTATAATTAGCGAAATTCTAAATACTAAATTGGATTAGAGCCCCAAGGAACCATGAGAGATTACTGCATTCCACGAACACATGTTGTCGAAGAGATAAAACAGGATTTCTGTGCAAGCCTCTAGGCAAAACACTTTGTTGCACAGAGGTATTGATATGATCAGAGGGATCTCCATTTCTCTCTGGGTTTAATCTGATCAAACACTAGAACACATATACTGTACAATGCATTGCTTGCAATAACTAGAGGACAGGCAGATGCAAGAATCTTGCTTTAGATTTAACCGTTCGATACCAAGTGATTTGCATAATAAAAAACAACCAGCAGAAACCAGTTTGTTTGTGTTCTGTAAAGTGTGATCGCATGTTTGTTTTATTTTGCATAGATGGAACATTATTTAATAGAAACCAAAACAAATAATTTGGCTGAACTGGAAACATTTTAAAAATAATATACCAATTAACAAGGTTATGGGTAAGAAAACAGCACTGTAAATAAACTTTCTAAATATTTTACAGTGACATTTTTCACAACAAACACTATACTCCTCTCACATTGTTCCCATGTATTCCTTATTAAAATTCTCGCATATGTACTCATGTAGTCCACACACACTCTTATACACGCACGCACGCACGCACACACGCACGCACACACGCATACAGTAACACACGTTGACACTCAGAGACACTAATGCATTTTAATGAAATTCAATTATTATTATTTTCGAAAATGACACTATTTATATCTGTCTGAGCAGCAATGTTTGCACAGACTCTACTGTTATCTTACCAAATGCTGCTCAACCCAACTTCCCTGCTGCTTCAGATCCACACGGAGCAATTACAGCAGTTAGTAAGTTAAAGGGACACTTCAGGCACCAAAACAACTTAATTTAAATGAAGTAGCTATGGTGTCAGGAGGTCCCTGGGGGTACAGTTTCCTCAAGGGTTTAAACCGATATTGAATGGTTTAAACCCAAAGTTGCATACAGCAGCGATGTCCACTCCCTCCATGGCGGCATCCGCCTTCTGAATTTTCAGATTCAGGAAACGTGGTGTGACTCCGTGCAGTGGTGCTGCTGAGAGCGGTCAGCCATACTTTCAGTTAATCAGTGACTTCCCATTCACTAAACTGGCTTGGAAAGACAACACATAGAGAATACATAAAGAGTGCCTCCAGGAGTCTACTGGTACCATAACAACTTCATTTAGAAGAAATTGTTTTAATTCCTAGAGTGTCCCATTAAAGTTGAGAAGCAATTGATAAGATAACATAAAAGTCTGGCCTAACATGACTGCTCAGCCAGGAAAAAAGAAACATTTTCACACACACACAAAAAAAATAATATACATTATTTTCCAAGTCAGTTTTATGAATGGGAGTCACTGATTGGCTCTCAGCTAACTGCTCTCAGCCAATCTGCGTGCTCCTGCCCGGCGGCACTCCGCTCTTCCGGGGGGGGGGGGCAGCTGAGAATTTTGCTGGAGACAACTTCGAAGTTAAATCATTCTAAAAGCAGTTTAACCCCTGAAGGTAAGAGTGAGATCAGGAGAAGTTGTCATGATGCCAATTCTGTACCTTTAACTGTTTTCTTAAACCAAGAGCTTCTTGCAATTTTTCAATTGCCTTGGAGAAATGTTGGCCCACTCTTCTTTGTCCACTCTTTGGAGGAATTTTGGTAGACTTGCCACTCCTGGGAACGTTCACTACACAATTTTATGATATCTCCACTTGGAGATTATGGTTCTTACAGTGGTTTCCTGGCACCAAGAGACTTTATATTTTTAGCTGGGTGTGTCTGCTCTTATTTAATCCAATGATTAAGGCAATTACATAATTTTGCTTAATGGGCTAATTGAGTAACTAAGAGGACATTTACTTTTTCACAGACGGACAGTTGACATTGGGTAACATTTATTCTTACATAATTTTTTTTTTAATCTGGATTTTATGTTTAGCCAGATTCTTTATGTCTTCTATTACATTTCATATGAAAATCTGAAAACATTAAGTGTGACAAATATGCAAAAAATATAGGACACCAGGAAGAATTAATGATGGCACTTAATTACATAGTTACATAGTGTGACTGATTGCCCAGTCATTTTATCTAACTGGAGCCAGACTTTAGTCACCTCCTCCACAATAGAGCTATCAGCGTATTGTTAAGGTTATTATTGTTAGGCCCCCTCGCTTCTGGTAGGTAATTAAATTGTCTTGTGCTAAGTCAGCTATGTCCCAGACACCAAAAAAACCGAGGTTGTGCAATGCATTGTTTTTCATAATGACCTCCTGTTGGGAATGTGTGTATATATACCTGTCTTTTATAATAAACTCAGACCTGTTTTACCCTTCATCAAGCCTCGGCTTATGTTTGGGACAAGCTATACTCACTCTAGCTGCTCTGTCCCAGGGGAAAGGGACAAGGTATAATGACTTTGGCTACTCTGTCCGAGGAGAGAAGGGATACTAGGTGGAGATACTCAGCCTGAGTATAGGAGATCTGTAACATCTGGTGGCAGCGATGGGAAGCCCTTCTCTCTGGGAGGATCCAGGAAAACGAACTGCTGGAAGCTGCAAACCATCCAGTATAATAGTGGATGGAGAAACATTATAAAGGCTGAAGAAGAATACCCTTAAGACTTGCTGGATGCAAGGGGCCAGCTAGCCAGCAATAGGCCAAAGGTTACCATCGTGGCTGAACTAATGGAGGGAGATTGTGCCAGCACTGTGTTCACTGGCTTAATCAATGAAACAGACTTCCAGAGGGAGATGAGGACCCGGCTATTATCTTATAGACCTAACCCCTCCATAGAGATCATCCGTACCATCATGACAGAGGTGTCCTTCAGACACAAAAGGCCGGCAACAATAACTGGCATAACTTCAGCATCTTGGGAGAGCCGTGACTGATACTCTTTGAAAGAAATTTGAATCAAATGTTAAAAACCTCCAATAGCACTCCTGAGACGCTTTTTGACAGTACATCGGCTTTTTCCATTGGTATAATATCCAACAGGTCCGATTCTTATTTGATTCTTGTTAATGTCCTTTTGGACATTATATCGATTGAAAAAGCCACTGTACCAGTGAAATGCATTTCGGGAGTGCTACTGGAGGATTTTATCATTTGATTTATATTTCTTTTAAAAAAATTTTTATTCATTTGTAATAAATAGTATTTTTCATCCTTCCTATGGACTCCATCCAACTATTTGGTAAAAAGTGATAGTGCTTTGATGTATTTACTCACAGTGCAAATTCATACATCTGCTGTATATATATTTATATACCTGTTGTATTGTATGAAAATTATAATGAAAGTGATATTGCTATCCAAAATCTCCTCAAATATATACCTGTGGTCAACTCCAGCACCACGGACAGAGCCTTGTTGCTTTAGATGTGGCCAGCATAAGCATGTACAGAGCAATTTTACCTTACAGCAGCCCCACACTACTTGGAACAGCCCTACCAGGGCGGCTGCTCACTTATGTTTAGGTAAAGGGACCTGTGAACTCTATTGCAACTGGTGTAGGGTTTGATACTTTTCATTGACAGTAATACTGGGGACAATTACACGAAGCTAATCCAGTACAAGCTGCTGCCACTGAAAACCGAAGTCACCATAGGCAAATAGCGTTTGTTAACAGGAAGTCAGCTCAAGGATAAGAGGATACCAGGGCAACTCTAACCCTGGTTGAAAGACACCTAGCCCGGGAGACAAGAGAGTACCATATGCTTGGTGTTGGTTCAGGTTGCTGGAGGTGCAGTATATCATTTACCCACAGTGAAAGTCCATCTTGATTGGAGCGCTGGATTCAGCAATGTGAAAGTCTGGATAATGAAAGACCTACCCATAGAAATACTGGGCAAGCTGGCCTCTGTATACTCCACCCCACCAGCAATGGAGGCACACCCATTAACAATCTGGCTGCAGTCACACTCGACATAGGCTGGACTAGGCACGCATTAAGGTCTGGGAGCTGTATTAAGCTACGTGTGGAACAGACGACGGAGAGCATCCTGTGGCCTATATTTGCCAAAAATTGTTGCCTCGGGAGGTGAGCAATGCAGCTGTGAAAAAAGAATGCCTGTCTCTGGTCTGGGCAGTGAAAAAATTACAGCTAATAAAGGACCACAACCTGTTGGTGTGGCTTAACCGGGTGGCTAATGACAATGGCCGGTTGTTACGGTGGAGCATAGTCCTTCAGCCGTATGACTTTAGATCCTCTATAGACAGGTAGTCCAGACAGAGGGAGCTGGGGAAATAACTGTTTGCGCTCCGGACATTCCCAGACCCATTAGGGTCAGACTGTGTCCGCCAGAATTTTGGTCAAGTAGGAGCAGGACTGGGCAGTCTGTCACCCATAGTTACATAGTTACATAGCTGCAAAGAGACATCAAGTTTAGTTTTTTTTGGTGGCTATACCCATCCAAAGAACTCCCTTTCGAATGGTTCAAAAAGAGGTGACATATGACTATCTGGTTGGAGACACCAATGAAGTCCAAGTTTCATGCCCTACATCCAAACAAAGGTGCACTATAATATTAAAAATGGTATATATATCCAAAATTCATTAACATGGACTAATAGTGAGAGAAAAAAAAACACAATATCGTAAAGTGCACAATTAAAAGTGCATGGTGAATTAAAGTGCACAATTATGACCAAAGTGCAGGTAAGTCTGCTCAAGCTGTCAAGGCTCCTCTCCACCACCATACAGCATTCAGCTTCCTCTTGTGGGGTGGACCAATCTTGTAAAAGATGTGCACAGCCAAAGAATATTGATCTTCCAAAATCTTTATTGCCACAATAAAAGATAAAAAGCTGAAAACTGGAGTCCCCAAATAGCAGTCTCTCACTTCAGGGACTCCAGCCTTGACAACTTGAGAAGACTTACCTGCTCCTCATTTGTAAGTGCATATAGTACCACTTATATATTGTACTACAACAGTATCACACTATATTTTGTTTTTATGTTTTCTCTTTATATACAGATCAGTGGAAGTCTAAAGTAGTATGTAAGTTATGTGAGATAGATTTGTATATTAGGATTGCACAAGGTTGCGATTTTTTTATCAAACAAGTTTACTGTTTTTGCACTTTATTTTGCAATTGCACTTTGGTCATAATTGTGCACTTTAATACACCTTTAATACACTTTTATTTATGCACTTTACGATATTGTTCTTTTTTCTCTCACTATTGGTCTATGTTAATGAATTTTGGATATATATACCATTTGTAATATTATAGTGCACCTTTGTTTGGATGTATTGTATTTATTAGTGTATATTGGGTTATTGCACTTGGGAGGTACTGCTTTTATTGAAATATTGATTGCTTGTCACAATTTTTAGCGCCATATTTTACTTGTTTTTGTGTGTGTATCAAGATTCATGCCCTGCCATGCATTTCACTCTCTTGCAGAATGCTTTGTAATCAGTTAAAGGGACACTAAAGTCACCCAGACCACTTGATCCCAATGAAGTGGTCTTGGTGTAGTGGTCCTGTCATTTGAACCCTGAAATATATAAAACTGCAGTTAAGTAGAAACTGCAATGTTTACGTTGCAGGGTCAAATACACCTCTAATAGCAGTCTTCACGGCAAATAATTGACAAAGCAACATTGACAGGCACAAGAGATGAAGAGGGCCCTGCTCAACTGAGATTACAATTTGGTTTACAAATGGGGGGTGGGGGGGGGGGTGTTCATTTGCTCACCCAGTCCTCAATGGAAGGAATAAAAACTAAATTTAATATAGTCATCTCTGTGTTTTCCTTCACTTTTATTTGACTTTGCAACCATTTAACATGTAATCAGTTGACCATAAAATATTATGAGTACATATTGTGTGTGATTTATATTGCTCTTAGTATCAAACTCCAAATGATAATTTCACAAGAGTAATAAGATACTTAAATACTGTTATCGCGGACTCAACCTTATTCCTTTCCAATGTATGAAATATTAAAATATTGCAACATGAAGAATCATTGTTGTGTAATATATTAATAATTTGGAACCTTAGCAACAATTTATATGTAATATATGTTATCGTCATCGTAGGTGTACACAAGAGGTGCTCCAGGTGAGCTCAGATAAGGTACATCATGATTTTAGAACATTACATTTTACCTTAATTTTTGCATGTGTTTTTAATTGTTCTCTAGTTGTAGATAAAAGCACAACAATTGATTGTATCTTCAATTATTCCTTTTTTGCATATCAAAGAGTAGCCATTTTTGTCATCTCATTTTTTTAGTTTAAATGTTATAAATAAAAGGTAGCTGGTAATTTTAAAATAAACAATTGTATGTCACAACTTTTTTGCTTTTTGACCCACACTCATTAATTTAGCATTGTCCATTCAGCTATCTCCATTCCACTCTGCTGAACGCTCTCCTGTAAAAGACATACATGTCTGGGCATGATCAAGCACCGAGTCACTGCTGGCTGCAGATATAGAACTTCTGCCATCCAATAAGTGGCACACGCAGATACAAATCACACATTCAGCTCGCATGGAATATTGGCCTTTGGCTTAAGGCAATAATATAATGATTAATTGCCTTTGTTGGCAAAATTGTCATTTCTGTCTTGTTCTGGAAGCATTAATTGCAATATTATTTTCTGAGTCAAGGGGCCAGACTATGAATTCCTGTGCCAAGTGGGAACCTTATAAAAAGGGCTGATGTTGAGAAATATGAACAAAAATGACCCTAAACTGCCCATCTTAAATTAGTTACAGACTCAATAACCATTTATGTAAGAAACCTGGTTAACTAATTCACTTTAACTATACAACTAATCTAACTGTAAAGATTTTCCAATATTCTCAATCTGCAGCTTGATTTTAAAGTGTCTAATGTCTCCTGATTGGAAGTTTTTAAACCCCTTAACTACAAATGTGCATTAGCATTTTGTAATACATTTCCCCAGAAAATATAAGCAGCAATCTCAGTGTAAGTAAAGAGACAGTGTGTGAAGGTAGTGGGTACTGTGTAGATGTGAAGACCCTTTAAGCTATCAACATCTTACCTAAAATAACAGACGCAAGCCGTGGATGGTGACAAACAGGCCACAACTTTATTAATATCAGTAATTATCATTAACTTATCATATTAACATAATACATTAACATAATGTACCCGAAAACATTTGAACTCTGACCTTGCTAAACAATACCACTCATCCCGGGGGACCTGATATGTATTGTTTTGACATGACATGTGCACAGTCGTTATTTGGCATGTGCCATAACTACACCCAACTTCCATTAATAAAACACAGACACCAGTTATTCTGTTGGAAATATAAAGTCCACAGCTTTATTTAATTATCATCATAAACTTAACAAAATTAGGGTCATTGCCGAATAATGATATTTTAATACAATCTCCCTCAGTACATAAATACCTCTGGCAATGACCCCATACCAATGAACAATATATAACAGTATAAATAACACATAATATAAAACAAGGCCTACCAAAGAGGCCATATCCAAATGCTTAAACTGTAGGGGTGTACCGAGACACCTCTACACCCCCCAGGTTCGGAGCCACAAATGAGCTCGAACCTACCAACCAATTGAACACTTTGGCCTAATCCAGCCTAAACCTTGCCATGACCACTTCATACTCCACCTACTTCCCATTTAACCTAGCCCTTCCCCGCTGCTGTGACCAAACGGGAAACTACCTCTAAACCACAGGGATGGTGGGAGGGACAACTAACAGGTAAGTGAAGGCTTGTAATTTAAATGGCCACTTTTAAATGGCTGCTCTATATTCCCCTAGTCTCCACCCCCACAACCAAATTACTAAACTCCCGCCCATAATTATTACAAACCCACATGCCTACTCCATGGCCCTGTCAAGGCCCACTCCCCTATCTGCGCTGTTCCATGGGCTACAATTTTGATTCTCAAGTTACAAAGCTGTGTTTTCCATTTTTTGAGTTACTAAGGTATCTGATTAAAAATTTGCACTGAATTTACTTGCTAGCTAAGCATGCCGCATTTCAGTTAAAGGACCACTCCAGGCACCCAGACCACTTCAGCTTAATGAAGTGGTCTGGGTGCCTGGTCCAGCTAGGGTTAACCCATTTTTTTTATAAACATAGCAGTTTCAGAGAAACTGCTATGTTTATGAATGGGTTAAGCCTTCCCCTATTTCCTCTAGCTGCTGTCTCATTGACAGCCGCTGGAGGCGCTTGCGTGCTTCTCACTGTGAAAATCACAGTGAGAGCACGCAAGCGTCCATAGGAAAGCATTGATAATGCTTTCCTATATGACCGGCTCAATGCGCACGCAGCTCTTGCCGCGCGTGCGCATTCAGCCGACGGGGAGGAGAAGAGGAGGATCGGAGGAGGAGAGCTCTCCGCCCAGCGCTGGAAAAAGGTAAGTTTTTACCCCTTTCCCCTTTCCAGAGCCGGGCGGGAGGGGGACCCTGAGGGTGGGGGCACCCTCAGGGCACTATAGTGCCAGGAAAATGAGTATGTTTTCCTGGCACTATAGTGGTCCTTTAACTAATTTGTTCACATATACACAGACCTGTATTGATTTGGTAATTAAGCTGCAAAATTCAGGTTAAAATATTCAAGCTATAATCATGATTATGGCTAAGTAAGAGATTTCTTTCAAAATCAGCTATTTTTGGTCTGCATAACCTAAAATTGTGATGTGGCAAAGCAACAACTTTGCTAAGCAACCTATTGTTTTTCTTATATTATTATTACTTTAAATATTATTCTGACACTTATTTCAAATGTTCAGAAAAAGCAAGTTTCTTGTCGAAAACCCTTTAAGCTTGTTTTGATGTTAGAGGCACATCATACACTAAATGTTTTGAAATTAAAAGGTCACATGGTCTTGATTTTTTTGACCAATTTTGCACTATATATATATATATATATATATATAAAATCAGTTCCAACACATAATTGTCAAAAGCAGTTGAGGGTCAAAGGTCACTAAAATCAGCTGCCATTAATTAATAAATAAGCAAATACAATAACTCTGTTAGGTACACTGAAAACTTCCTTTAATTTGCAAAGCCTTCTGGATAAGAGTGCTATATAAGAACTGTAGACCAGCGTTTCCCAATTGGTGTTGCGAGGGACCCTAGGTTTCCGTGGGAATAAAATTGGGGTTCTGCGACGATTTGCCTGTCAGGTGGCCCAAGCATTTAGGGCCACCCGATGGGTATCGCTAAACAATGGTCTGGTATGGTCATCTAAGACCGCAACCGCACTACTGTAATATTGGATGCTGAAAGGAAGTGACAGCATTTCCTCCCAGACAGAGCGTGCCACCTGGAGGGAGAGAGGGAGCAATAGGGGCTGAGCAGCGCACCAACCTCAACCAGCAGCACTGAAGATCCTCCTGCAGAAAAAAGGTAAGTGATAGCAAATTTAAACATATGTTTGTGTAAATGTGTCTATGTGTGTGTGTGTACCTGTGTCAATGTGCCAAAGTGTGTGAATCTGTGTGTGTATGTGTCTATGTGTGTGTATGTACCTGTGTCAGTGTGTGTATCTGCCAATGTATGTGAATCTGTGTGTGTGTGTGTATGCATCTGCCAACGTGTGTGAATCTGTATGTGTATGTGCCAGTTTGTGTATCTGTGTGTCAATGTGTGTCAATGTGTGTATCTGTGTCTGTGTGTGTATGTGCTCAGGGCCGGACTGGCCCACCGGGATACCGGGAAATTTCCTGGTGGGCCGTCGGCACCTGGGACCGGGCAGGCAGCTGGCTCACCTGCGGCCGCCAAAAGAGCTCCCTCTGGGGAGCTGGCTGTTCTGGTGGCCGCATGGGCAGCTGGCTGTTCTGTCTCTGCTCCCCCTCCCCAGCGCGCCGCTTAATGAGACCGAGGCCCGAATAT